CAACAAACATGTATGTTTTTGTGGCTGTCTCTGTAAGCACATCAGTGAGAATACAAATCAAGGTTTCACGTTTGTGTCTCTCGCATTCAGGCAAAGCTTCCAACATTTCTTCTGTGCATTGTTGAACGAAAGTTCCGACATTTTCGAGGGGATTTAACTCTGGAGAGTTCCAAATCCACATTCCACCACTTTTTCACGGACCACTCTTTCAAGTTCAACAATTGTTGAGGCATTAATAGGATTTTTCAAATCTGGCATTGCGATGTGTCGATTGGAAGACTTGAATTCTCGAAGCATGTCTGCGACTAGTTTTTGAGCCATCCCGGAGGCAGCACATGCGACACGAACCTGAATTCTAGTGAGCACCATGATTCAAAAGTGTTTGCAAAAAATTAACTTTGAAGAGTCAAACACCCAAGAGTATGTTAAAATGACCTTTTCTCACTAGTGATGATATTCGCGGTCCTACCAAGTTCGTCATTACTTCGGGAGAAAAATTGTGATTTATTTTGCAACACCCCTTATTAGTTTCAGTCAGCAAGAAACAAGCTCTCAACAAAGATTTGTGAAAATATCTACAGAAAGGTAAGATTATAATTTTCTACAATAGTAATGGTTAGACATAACTATTAAGTAGATTCTTTAAATCTAAACTTTAGCAAAACAAATCAGTTTATAAAGCTAAACATGAAATTAATGTATATTATTTAAATGTTTAAATAAGCGTCCTTTTCAGGACAAGTAAAAGTTATACAATATGTTAATTATAGAAATAAATTAGTGGTAAGCGTTTTACATATAAAATGTCAGGAAATGCAAAACTATGGCATGCAAATTAGATGTAGAAGCAAAAAAATATTTTTAGTATGTTAAATGTGTACTATTGTTCAATATTATATAAACGAAACATTAGGTATGATGAAATCCTTTCAGGACAGATAATTGTAAAAGTATGTAAAGTAAATTATTGGCTATGATATAGTATTTGCCTCGTTGAAATAGTAGATAAATTAAGATAGTATGTGTAATAAAACTGACATTCATAATACTCTATGCTATAGTAGTTGTCTTGTTAAAATAATGGTTTTACTTGTAACTTTTTGGGAAATATAATTAATTCTAGACTACAATATTGATGACCTAATTACATGTTGAGACAACCTGGGATAAGCCCATCATTTTATTGAACTATCCATTTATAGAAACAGCACCGCCAATAGAAATTTATTACCACCATCCACCTATACAAACACTATTCTTAGCAACACTATCTGCCTATAGAAGCACTGTCAGCCTTTGTAAAACATATATAATATGTAAGTGAAACTATAAAATACCAGTGAACATGTGTCAAATGAAACATATGGTCAAGAACCTATTTACTGTCATACAGAATGAAAACCATAATTATATGGGTATTATTTTGGGAAATATAATTAGTTCTAGACTACAATGTTGATGACCTAATTACATGTTGAGACAACCTGGGTTAAGCTCATCACCTTACTCAACTATCCATTTATAGAAACACCATCCACCTATACAAACACTATCCGCCTATAGAAGCACTGTCATATGTAAGTGAAAACTATATAGTCCCTTTTAACATGAGGGAAACTAAATATTTTGTCAAGAACTCATTTATTGTTATTCACAATACATGAAAATATAGTTAATAAAAATAATTGTTTTATTTATAAATATAGACGTTGATGACATGTTAGTACAGCAATACACAATTCATCGACGTCATGACCCTAGCAACACGACCTCAAGTTCCACTTTCTGAAACTATGATGCCACCCTCCCTACCAACACGTCCTCTGGTGCCACTTCATGGAACTTTGTCTCCTAGCAACATTGACTAACATTCGAACTATGATGTCACGTGACATCTCCTGCAACGTGCTTTCTGGCAGCAGACAACTTCCGTCCTAGAATAACTACTTATGAAATATTTAGGCCGCTAGGAATCAGCTGTAGCTATTTTATAAAATACTTTGATTTTGCTAAGTCGTGTTGATAATAGCAGTACATATCTTATGAAATATCTTGCTTTTATCGCACCGTGTGAATAACAGCAGTGAGTATTTCATAAAATACTTTGGTTTTACTAAATTGTCAGGTTGACGTTATTCCTTATATTATACGATGATCTTGTGAGTCTATATTATAACAACAAAGCTAACAGATGGAATAACCAGACAGTTAACCCTTGTAATAGCGTAACTGATTCGATTATCGGTAAATTTTGTAAAATCAGCCAACTCTTGGGCTATTCTTGTCAAACCAAATAGTGAGATTTGACCATCACTCTTAGAAAGCACCCACGACCTCAACGTACACAGATCGATTATTATAATTTTGTTTGCGCGAACCATGAAACTTTAGCCGTCATCTTAACCATTGGGCCGCGCTAGGTCCATAACGCACATTAATCAGTTCCATTTCTAAAGCAGACAACTCTTATCCCAGGAAGACATAGTGAGGAATGGAACAAGTTAAGAAAACTGATTTACTCTATGGATGTTGATCGTGAAACTGATTGATCGAGAAAGTGGACCTGCTACATAATATTTAAGTGAAATGATATTGACCATTTTCTGTGTCAGAAGGCTTTAAAAAGTTTACATTTATTGAAATTAAAACCGTATTCAAATACAAACGAAATGATATTTCACGAAAATAAAACGTCGGAACTACATGGAATTTAGGCTAAATTGTCAAGCTGAAAGTTCAAAAATAAAACACACACTCGCGAACTTTAAGTAAGTCTTGACTCTTTGAAAGCAGAAGTTAATTTCATTGGATTACTTTCACAATCCATATTTTATCCATAGCTGACTAATCACAAGTTGGATCAGAAGAAGCCAGAAGTACCTCTGCTTCATATGAGGGTAATTTTGGCTCTAAATCTCTCATTAAAAAAAAAAATTCTATTCACGGCAAGAAATTGATGATAAATTAACATACGCCTTTGATGTATTTACCTGTTTCGAAACTAGAACTCAAAAAGTTTGTCGTCATATTTTGTCAACACCACCCACCCTGAACGTTTTTTATTTTAATTCAGTAGCCCTGTCAGTCATTACTACTTGCTCCTGTCTTCATCGTTACCATTGTTAATAAAATCTTCGTTTCTTACGTTTTCGTACAAAACCTTTCATTCAACCAGCGAAAATCCAGGTGTTCGAACCACCAATAATAGTTATGGTGATCATGTAGCTGCGATTCTTTCCGTTTCTTGGTATAACACACATATAAATAATAACGAATATATTATCACATCGGAGTTTAAGTCGGTGAAATAAAACTCCTAAAACTGGGATTATCCTCATTTGTTAAGTTTGTTTATCCTCCCATATGCATGTGTGTAAAAAGGGATAAAATCAGAAGTGTAAACATTATCAAACACTTTGCATTGTCGTAAGACAAAATGCTGAACTTTTCATTCCTTACATACTTTTTCTTGGACCAACCATTTTCCATTTGCTTCTTACACCTCAGATCTATAAGATTCTTCTTCAGTGATTTTAAAGTGTTTCGGTTCTATCTATAATATCTATGATATTAATAATTTTATTTTTCTGACAGCGAATAGCTTTGAAACCAATCGTTGTCAGAGTCATTGGTACTGGTCTTGTATTTGACCAACCGAGTAGAGGAAATGTGTGCCACAGGCGCACCCATTACGGCCGGGTCCTGGACACGCCTTAGGGCCCTTGAAGCTCTTGGGTTCTAGATTAAATTTTGTGCATTCTCCTGCTTTTCCTGAGAATATTTTTTCTAATTTTGATACATCTTTACTGGGACAGATTGAAAAATGGAGGAGTCCCCGTTTCCTACGCCACTGTAATTTGTGTTCAATAATTTCACATGCACTTAGAATTCCATAAACGCCTGTATGAAACGAATACAGACCACAGAGTGTGGTAAATACGTCATTAACTCCTGTTACTTCTTTCCTAGGTGGCAGCAAGCATCTTAGTGTAAGTCCTGGAGGGATGACGAGGAGCACATCTCATGATAACCTGAACAGAAAAGGTAATAATTGTACTAAGCAAATGAAATGCTGAATATACCAACACTAGAAACCACTTGCGGTGTTGAAATAAACATATTAAAATCTGCTGAGAATTATTAGTGTTTTGGAGATTTGTATTATGATTCAACATGATATAAGCACGAGGTCGATAACTGCATTGGAAGTAATGTAATAGGAATGACGTGTCAACGCAACTTACGTCATCGCGTTGATTTATGATTTGACTTTTGGGGAATTAAGTACTCGATTACTTGGGGACCATTAACTGTAACAATTTAAAATTTGACATTAACGTGACTTATGCCAAACGTACCATATTTCCAGTTAAGTTCATGATTCAAGTTAATTCATTTTAAATGTCGTTTTAAATTAATTGTAAATAATATGCTTTAGCTTACATTTGTCCATATTTCCGTAACTCTATACTAGACTTTCCATTATTCGGCAGTTTTATACCAAATTTTGCAATATTTCCCAAAATTTATTACTGAATTTTCCATCTTAGTTTTATAGTGGATTTTATCATTTTTTGTAGTTTCATAATTGCTTTTTGATATTTCATTATGCTTATTCCAGATTCATCATTCTTGTACTATTGTTTCATTGCCTATGATTTTTGGTGATTTTTATAAGACAAACCAAAAAAATCATAATTTGAAAGGTTTTTTGTTTGCTCTATGCACTCAAACTTTATCCGAGCAGGTTTGAATCAGAAAGAAGTAGAACATTTCCTCCAAAAGAATCCAGATTTTCTTGAAGACTATGTCATCAATAATGTTGAATCGGAGCTTTTAGAAAAATGGATGATCCGAAATATTCGGAAAACCTCCAAGAGGTCAACATCGAATGAAGTAAATGGTAGCGTGTCATTTCTCATATGTTTGTACTATTAACAAAAATCTAATGTTTAATGAAAACGTTGCATACTGATAAGAATTTTCATAAAATATAGCTACTTTAATGTCGATTTCCTTTTGTTTCTGCTCGGTTTTATTTTGCATCTAGTTCTTACCGTAATGTGCAGTCAGCACAGAAACTGAAAGTGCTATTTCATGTATTTAATATTTTTAACAACTTTTTATAACAACTATCTCATGTCTGATATGTTACGATTAAAGACAGGATTTTTAAGTAAGAATAACAATGAAATTAAAAAAAGAACTTCTTTGACTGAATCGTATGTTTGTGTTAAGCTCCGAATTAATAATTCACGAAAAGATTGGTCAGTCAATACACTATATACATCAAGGTGCTTTTGGAAACTTTTTGAGCAATTTTATTCCTTTTGTGTTTTTGAACTTCGATATCATTTACGCAATAATATATAAATAATCCCTTAAAGTTGTATATTTATGTTTCACACAAAATGTACAAATAATCCGGGCCCTTAAAGTTCTAAACTTCACAAATAATGAAACAAATATTTCACACAACAACGTACAAGTAATCCCTTAAAGTTGTAAACCTCACAAACTTCACAAATAATGAAACAAATATTTCACACAACAACGTACAAGTAATCCCTTAAAGTTGTAAACCTCACAAAATTCAATTTATATTCACGCAACAATGTACAAATAATTCCTTGGAGTTGTATACTTTACAAAATGCACAAAGAATCACATAAAGTTACATTAACGTTGTATAAACTTTTCCATAAAGTTATGTTTAAACACAGAGATTAGAATAAAGTTAAGATCACACATTTACATTTACTCTTATAAACTTAAATCAGGTAACTTTGAAAAGCTTAATTTCATAAATAATCCTATCAAGTTAAATTTCACACAAAAAATTATAAAGAATCCTATAAAAATTACGTGAACTTTTCTGCGACGCATTACTTTCTCGTGCAACAACGTCATGTACATTATCTGAACACAATCAATACATGAAAACTATATATAGCTATTAGTGTTCAGAGGATATCTGTTTCTCTTACCTCGAAACTTCGTATAAGTTATGCATTTATGTCCAAATACAGAAACTATTTAATATGATATATGGATAAATGTGACATAAAAACCATCTAATACGATACCCGGATGTGCATGGTAAATGTGACATAGTGTATCAAATGATTAACTCGTGCAGTAATAAAACCAAACATGAACATATTTTTATACGAACTTTACATGAGTATCTCTCAAACAGTTAGATAGATTTCGCTTGATTGTGATATAGTAACGTACTCAAGAGTGTGTCAACCAACATATCCACGTGATACATCTGACAATAATGAATATCACAGTTCATAAAGGAAGAACTCAAATCTAAATCCTCAAGTTTACTCTAGGCCAGTATTGTCCATTAAAGAAAAGATTAATGTTTTTGGGGCGTAAGTCGTTATTAAAGACTTCTGAAATATTTGAAACTTATTTAAAATTTGAAATTGGCCCCCGCAAAAATATATTCAAAAATGTATTGATATGTTTTGTTAGTTTTTTTACTTGTTACAAAGTAACCATCCTAGTTCAGTTGTTTTAGAGCAAAGCTATATTGGGCTATCTGCTGTGTCCACCGCGGGTAATCAACCTCCGGGTTTTAGCATAGTAAGTCCGTAGACTAACCGTTGTCCCACGAGGGAGCACCATTCTTCAATGTCTCTAGTGTCTGATTAATGTAACCACAAAGATATCCATTCATTCTGAGCAACAAGATAGATTTGTAATTTTTTATCCCGCAATATTAACAAAATCTGAATTTTCTAAGTTTTCGGAAATAAATTTTTACTGGTAATGAAACATGAACTTTAATTTTTAGGGCGGACGCAGAGGAAAACAAGTCTCTCAAGGTGGAAGGTAAGTTTGTTTCACACTGATTTTTTTCTTTTTATGACACTTCACACGTCAATACATTTTAGCTTGATTTTTTTCTATATTTTAAATACGTTGATGATATTTATTCGCTGATCAACATTTGGGGAATTTTTCTTTTAGTTTTGTGTGCACGCCGACAAAGGAAAGATGCTACAGGACCTTACTACAAGCCTTTACACAAGTCCTAACAAAGTCCAGGTTTTGTCGGAACTCGCTGCCACTATCGCTTCTGCTGTGAATGCAGAATGTTGGAATCTGTATCTGTATGATAAAGCAAATCAGGTAAAGATCCATTGCTAGTGGCACTATCTCTTATAACCTCTGTGGTTTGGAACACTAACACAGTTAATAAATATTAATGGAATCTACTTTTACGTGCTGTACTTGTAACAAAACGAGCCGTTAGTAACAGTATTCAAATCTTCGATCATCAAAACAAGGCAATAGTAAAGAAGTCATTAGTAAAAAAAAAAACGTAATTCTTTCTGTTCTCGTAAAACAAAGCAAGTCGTTAGTTACGGAACTCAGTTATTAATTTTGTATTCGTATAACAAAGAAGCCGTTAGTAACAGAGCCCACTTCCTCATTCTGTACTAGTAAAACAAAAGTTGTTAGTAACGGAACCTGCCCGCTTCCTCATTCTGCACTCGTAAAACAAAGCAGATCGTTAGTTACAGAACCCAGTTATTCTTTCAATACTCGTATAACAAAGAAGTCAATAGTCAATTAAATCCACTTCGTCATTCTGAACTCATTGTAACAAAGCAAGCCATTAGTAATGGAGTCTACTTCTCCACCTCTTCAAATTGAACTCGTACAAAAGTTGAGTACATTGTAGTAAAATGATTTTGGAGCTTCATCATGTATTAATAGTCCATGTCGTTACATCCGATTGGGCTCTATCCGACGATCATGCATCTTGACAACAACCCTGTAGCGTAATATCTATTGTAAAAGCATCCGTCATAAGACTGTCATGTCCAAAGCACACCATTCCTGAAATCCTTGATCAGAACACTTTTTTTATAATCTGAGTTTATAATGAATATTTTGCGTCAGATAGGGCTGTTACATACCAATTTTAAAAGCGATAAATTTTCAGGGGCATTACACAACTATGAAACGTTAAGTAATATACAAATATTACTGTAGCACATGCCCTTCCATCGCGATTTTATATCAGTTGTGGGTATCAAGTGACTTGCTGAATTGCATATTCAAAATTGTTTTAATATAACGTAATCAGCCTTCTGTGTGTCCAGGTTGTTTGAGTTTCTTTTCAGCATTTGTGTTCAGATTATGACCCGGTACACGAGTTAAAGCTTTTCACTACACCTATACTCTGAACATAGGTTACACCATTTTTTTACTGTATGGTCCAGAAAGTAAGTGGTAGCTTGATACTACATCTGAGTACAAGTTATCACCCATAGTATAAGTTGAGTTTTTTATTTTGTTTTTTACTGTTTCCATATTTAGAATATGACCAAATGTATAAGTCTGTATTGTTACTGTATTTGTAACCAAACTATGAGCCACAGAATAATTTTGAGTATTCTACCATATAAACGTCCAGATTTAACCCAAATAGACATTGTTTTTTACTACATAATTCTTTAGGTTATGACTTATAATCTTAGTTTGAGTTATGTAAGTTTGAATTTTTTATTGTATGCAAGCTCAGAGCGTGACGTTAGTTGTTTTATTTTACTGTAACTATGTACTAGTAAACAGTTTTTCGAGAGAAGAGGATATCTAGTTTAATTAATCAATAAACCTATCACAGAAATAACGTCGAAGGTTCTTTTAATTGAATCTTTGTTTTCTCTCTGTTCCCAGACTTTGCAGAGCTTCACAAGAGAAGACATAAACCGACCTAAGTAAGTATGTATGCGTGTACTTGTGTATGTACGTGTGTTTGTGAACAGGAATTATGTTTACAATAAAGAACACATTTCAGACTTCAGATTAAACTGTTTAGTGACCTTTTGTCACTGAATTAAAAGTTTGCATACTTTAATCACGTATCTGCTTTGGTGTTAAGTTATCACAACTAATCCATTAATTCGTCTTGATTTGTACTAGCTGTCTTCAAACCATATAAAAGTGCATTATTAAAGCATGAGCACAGCGTCGTTTTCGAATAAGTCACTACACGTTTTGCTTTTCTATAGCAATACTCACCAAATTTAGATATAAGGGTTGGTAAGGCTTAATTGTTGGTAAGGCTTTAAACCATGTAAAAGTGCATTATTAAAGCATGAGCACAGCGTCGTTTTCGAATAAGTCACTACACGTTTTGTTTTTCTATAGCAATACTCACCAAATTTAGATATAAGGGCTGGTAAGGCTTAATTGTAAATATCCTAAGTATCTGAATGAAAATAGTTAATCAGAACGTAACGTTTTATACTCAGTTACTATGTTAGATTATCAAACAAAATCTTTACGTATGAAGTTGTATAAATTTGTCATTACCGAAAGTTAAAAATAAAAACACGTTTGTCTTTAATACTGATTTACTATGTTAGGTTATCGAACAAACTCTTCACGTGTGTAGTCGTATAAATCTATCATCACTGAAGGTTAATAATATAAAACACGCTTCTCTTTGATACTCCATTACTATATTAGATTATCAAATAATTTGATAACCAAATACTATGCTAAACTATCAAACAAGGTTTTCACTCGTGTAGTCGTATACATCTGTCATCACTGAATTGGTCTAAGTTTCTTTTATTTCTTGATTACAAAATCAGCAACATTCGATAGAAGAAAAAAAGATTAATGTCTAGGACAAGTTCAAGAACGTTACTGTTCAGATATATACATTATTTTTTCATAAGGAAAATGTGCAAATCACACGTATTAAATTGTGTAATCAATTATGAGAGGTTGCTATGTTATCACTCGTTCTTAAGTTAAAAAGTAAATAGTGTTGATATTAGTTCTTGTGGTGGACGTATATTGCTGCAATGAATTGTTCTGTTGAAAATAGACTTAAGATAAGTTTCGTGAAAGATGCAATCATATTTTCAATATTCATTTAAAAATAATAATTAAAACTTTTAGTTGACCCAGTCAGTGTTTTTAATATAACTAGCGTGTCTTGTAGTAATTTGTTGCAAACTTTATATGTTTGTTTCGCTATTATTGCTACGAAGAAAGTTGTAGTTGGCTTGAAATCAAATCCTGTGCATGTCATTATAGCACTGACTAAAAGTACGCTCAAAACTATGTTTGCCCCTACATTTCACATTGTTGTAACAGTTGTTTTTTTTTTGTTTTTTTAACGAAGTTGACAATAAACTTTAAGTAACCAACTGGCAAACAATATTTATATATGGACAGCCTGATATTGAAACGGATAAATGACGACAGCGTTGCGACGCAGTAACGTAAACCTTCGTCGGATCCTGTTACTGTTTCAGTGTGTTTCATTGAAAACAGAGAAATGCGACTGAGCTAGAGGGCTTTGAAGTGTATAGTGTATAGCATGTAGATACAAAATAAACCTAATTGTTACTTAGGTCCAGAGATGTGATTGGATAAGATTGCTTAAATCTGATTGGTTGATTTCTGAGTAATTGATCCAATAGACATTAATCTCTAAATCTGGACCTCTGTTGAAGACTGGTTTTCTGCTTTCAATGTATATAGCTTCCTTAGTTCGTCTTGTTTTTTAGTTGTTGTCTTTGTCAATGGTTTTACAGCTATTCCAGACAATATAGTGTCCACTATCAATACCATGTCGAATAATAGGTGAATTGTATTTATAACGTGAACTGTACCATAATGATCCTTAAGACATTGTCCTGAATGTCTCCTCGCTTCTCCAATATAAACGATTCTCCACAGCTACCCAAGGTTTCCTCCATCCATCCCTTAGTTATCAGATGATCCATGATTTGTTTTGAACGTGAAAGTATGTTACGAAGAGTTGATCCAGGTTTAAAGTAAATTTGAAATTTCTGGGCAAAAATGACATTTTTTATGAAGGAACTCAAAATATTCCGAGAAAAACTCAAATTAAATCAAGAAAGAACTCAAAATAAAAAATGTTAGGAATAAAAATTGTTCATTAACTAAGCAAACATATTCTTTATGTGGGCGTGGCCCAGGTTAGGTGGGGTCGGATAATATCTACCCTATGGCACGACCTTTGGTCCGATGTACCGTCCTAACAGGTTTGGTTGAGGTTGGTACAAAGACCACTGAGTAGTTCGCAGACAAACAAACACTTTTTTTTTATAAGTATAGATTGTTTTAGTTTTGCAGAATGATTGAGAAGAGGTGTTAGTATTACTAATGATATAATTATGCATTATTCACTGGTCGAAACGTTTTGAAAATAATACACATAATAAAGAACGGAATAATAGTCCGAATAATTATAGATCGTTTCTCCTGGAGTTAACACCTGCTGACAAATGTCCCTTAAACAAATAAACTGTACTTAAAGTAAATACTAAAAAATAGCTCATAAGTATAACAATCTAATGCTTTTTTGAAAAGCTCTTTCAAAATAAATCGTTATTTCGGCTGTTTATACATATTCAGAAATAATAGAATGTCATCAGTAAGTCACACAGGAAAGCAGTAAAATGTTTAGTCTGAACAAACAAGTATATATTTATTGAAAAGGTGTTTTCATTTACTTCAAGTCTTAATGAAGTTTCTTAGTATAGTTTTATTTATTAATCTGACAGAACCTTAATGTTAAATCTAGTAAAATGTTCATGAAAAATAGTAATGCCAATACTTAAGCGTGTTGACCCTTATAGAATCATACAAGGTATAACCGTTATTAGAAAATAATATGACATAGGCTATTGAGCACTACAGGGCTACAGTATAAAGTTTAAATATGTCAACAGATATTATTATCACATGATAGTTATGACGTAAAGTGCCTTCTGAATGTGATGCGTATACACGAAACTATTAACGGTTGATCATATTTTTTTGTAGCTATGAAGGACCAATTTGTAAAATATCTATTGAGATTGGGACAACCGTGGCTGCTTTTGTAGCACAAACACTAGAGACCGTGAGAACAACTAACAAAGAACGGGTAAGTTGTGACGTAATACATATGGAAAATCAAAAATGTATTTTGGATTATCAGCGTATTTTATCGTTACCTGATGTTAAGGCAAAGGAGCATTTAAACTTCGACAGATACAGATATTGTATTAACTGAGGTACAAACTAGTGTCACTAGGGAAAAGATGCCCCTGGTGGTAAAAATTACAACTGTAGAAAGTAAAGAGCAGCGTAATTAATCGTCCAGTTCTTTGGATTTGTCTTCAAGTTGTTTGCAAACACGGTATACAGCAAACAGTACACATATTTTCTTCACATTGCCACTTGTTTGAAATAAAAAGTAAATTTTTTCTTCAACGAACCTGTTTTATGTCTCTTCTTTCTGTTCATTTTTACATCATTAAAATCTAATAGTAACAAGTTGAGAAACGGCATCATTTTTCGTCGTAAAGTTCTTAAATGTTTTTTGAGATGAATTTTATATAATTAATCACCCATAAGATCCATTATTATTATACTGTATTATTTCTATTTTCTTGAATAAGTTGACGTCAATTCTTGTCTAATAAGCCACTTACACGACCTGCTAGTTTTCTGCGGTATGAGAGTTATGAGAGTTTATGTTCAATGATGATATGAAATTGTTACAAGGTTACAAGGATTCCAGATTTTTTTATCAGCTATGAGCTTTTACAAGTTTTTTCCTGAATAAAAAGTTTATTCAATAGGAGCTACTGGCGGTTTTAAATGAAGCTTGTGTGTGTGTGGTTTATAAACTAGTAGTTCCTGCGCGATGAACAAGTTGTTCACCAGAAGTAATTGGTCATTTAAAATAAGTTTGTCAAGCATGCACAGCTTACTCGTCTCCTATGTGAAGTACAATTCGTTCCACATCAGTAACTGAAAAATTAAAATGACGTTCTTGGAAATTCACGAACTATTCCTTCCTTACATGATGTCCATATTTATTATGTTAGGTCGTC